GCTTTGAGAAAAAAAATGGTTCTGAAATCCACTTTGAGTCAACAATGGTCCAGATAAACTCGTAAGACCATTTTGCTCCAGGCATTGTGCTTTTTTTTTTTTGAAGAATTCAGTCTGTTTTAGGAAACTTCAAAAATCAGACTGAGAGTTATGTTCAAGGTAAATAAGTAATTCATTTGATCAGTCTTTAAGACAATGTCGTATGAAATACCTGTCTAATGTTTGTAATCAAACTGTCGCCCTCTTACAATGCAGAAAATTAAATTATGTATCTTAAAGAAATCAGGTTCTCAGACGAGATCGACCTCATGGCTCAGACTCCATTTTGTCTTAGGTTCCATTTCTGCTTCTGAGAAAGTGACCCATGACTGTTAATAGGTAAACCAAGCAGGGGCAGCTTGCCATGAGGAAGAACACTTGGTATGTTTTAAACAGACTAACTGAAGACCTCCTACAGGAAAGGTCCATCCTGTATTATCTTGCTAATCATGAATTCTCTAATGGAAACTTTGTTATCACATGTGAATTTTTCTATATTTTCTGTTTCCTCTAGACAAACTTTTGTACTACTTATGGATATATGTATCTTTGTGGTAGATCCAACTACACTAATTTAGATGATCCCCTTCCAACTGATAGTGAATTTATGTGGGCAATGTCATTTAGATTCCTGACAAATGCATGGGCAATGCACTTTGAAAACTTTAGGATAACCTTTAGATATTCATAGTAATGATGCTAGTAAATATTGGAAAGGTAATGTTAATTTGTTACACACTGTAAAATGAAAGTCAGAAGAAAACTCATTGGTCCTACATTCAGGGTATGGTTGGTAGGTTTAATTCCTACTTATGGTATATCTGAAGTGGAGAAATCTTTTAAGAAAATTTATCAGTCACTATGGGACAAATAACAGATGAGATGGAAGCACAACAGTGATCTCTGATCTCATAAGCCAAGGTGACATAACAAAATAGCCTTGGATTTTTTTTTATAAGCGGTAGTCTGTGCTGTAGACAAGATATACATAGAATTAGCCAGCAAGCTACTTGGTTACACACTGTTAACACCCTTACAAACATCGGATTTTTTTGGTTAGTTACCATCAGGAGAAAGTGCATGGGCTAAATCACTATTGCAAGGAATAGTAATATTCTTAGTCTACATCCTGATAGTATTAAGCATAATAAAATTTATCTTCTATTGTCTTACACACCTAGAAGACAAAGAAGGCCTTGGGTTAAAATGTTGATGTACATTGAGCCTGCTCACTCCGGCAATGCCATTGATGAGAACATCGCTCTTACTTAATAACCTGGTGAAGAACCAGATGGTATCCGGTGGAAAACCAGCACCGTGAATTTAAAGATCCCGCCATGGCTGCCATCTAGGAGCTCAGCTAAGTCCTGGTATCGATCATCAATGTGTTACCTCCAATCTCCAATCAAAAGGAGGGAATGATTTAGAAATAATATTGGAGTTATTATTCCCTGTCCTTGAGCATAGAGAATGTGACCCAGGTGGAGCTGGGCTCATAAGGACTCACAAGGACACATCAACTGGGCCCTGAG